TTCAGTGCCTGGTACGACGCGAATAACGAATACGCTGGCTTCTCAAGATGTATTAACGCAATACAATATTAATAATATCAATCGTACGAAGCAGGAGTACAATTTTTACAACCAAGGCTATGATTGCATAACTCCGAACAATTATCACTTTCAATCAAACAATAATACAACTTCTATCATCTTTCCCAATTCAACTCGTCAGGAAGATAATAAATACGAATCACCTTCGTACACTTTGCCAAATACATCGATCTACCAATACCAGGATGCTGTTTATAAAGGAAATCGTGAATATTCAATGTCACATAACAATACATATACAGCACTATTAACGCCCGAAATAATGACCGACACATCATTAACAAAGCAAAGATGTCATTGTCATCAGTTTGCAACAGTTGATTCAATCCACCAATATTATCGTTCATCAAATCCTATTCTGTCACAAGAATTATCGGAAAAAGCAACCAACTCTCAATATATATTAGAACATAATTTTTATAATTCAATGAGATCTTCGGAATTTCAACTTCAAGGCTTTGTACACAAACCAAATAAAATCAACAGGAAGAAATGCGAGTGTCCTAATTGCATTATGAAAGAGGATAATGCCCCACTTGGTAATGACGGCAAAAGGCAACACATATGTCATATGTTAGGATGTGGAAAAGTATACGGCAAGTCGTCACACCTCAAGGCGCATATTAGAACGCATAACGGGGAACGACCATATTCCTGTAGTTGGCCTTCCTGTTATAAAAGATTCACTCGAAGTGATGAGCTGCAACGTCACTATCGCACGCATACCGGTGAAAAGAAGTACTTTTGCCACAAGTGCCATAAAAGGTTTATGAGAAGTGATCATCTCAAAAAACATATAAAGACGCATGAGAAGGAAAATAGAAAATCTCGTGCGATCAAGAATAACATGAATAAGAAGAGTTTGCTCGAAAGCATCTCTGTAGAAATTTCAAATTCCTCAACTTCTTCTCAAGAATATTGGAAATCCTATTCATACACTTCTTCGTGATATTTTGAGGATTTCTTAATAATAGTTTATGAAAACTCTGTATTATATATAATTTTATATAATTTTTTTAATGATTATTTATTTTATACTTATAAAATAAATAATCATTATAAACCGTATCATATAGTAATTAAGGTAACTGAATGTAAGTCTCTAATAAATTTAAATATTATAATATTAGGACTATTTGAATCGCTAGATGTCATATGCGAACTTTGTGTACAAAACAATAAATAAGTCTACGTTTAAAATTCAACTGAATGAATATATTTATTGTATTGTATAAAGTTCGCATATGACATCTAATGCGACTTGAATAGTCCTAATATTCTAATATTATATTATATAATTTCATATAATCTAACAAAGATCTAATTCTACAAAGTACGATATTAAATTTAAAAGTCAATTTTCTAAAATATTTTTAAAAAATTTTTCTTAAAAT